TTCATGCTTATCCAGAAGGAAATCTTCGCATTCGCTTCAGCAAGCTTGACGGACAAACGTAGAAACTTGTTCAGTTTTTTTACCGTCGAACGGTCCTTGCTCGTTTTCAAATCACGGAATATACACATTTGTTCATAGGGAATAAAAAGATAGTTGCAGCGAAGAAAATTTTCTTTTCGACGAAGTTTCTTATCCAAACATCCTGTCTATTTTGTTATTTTTACATTTCTAACCCCCAATTGCACAATGTCAATTTTCTTAGATATTATGCTACTTTGCTTGAGTTTTACTCATCCCCCTGTTTTTTTTAATAATTTAACCCCTAACCGGAAATTATTCTGGAACTTTCCCATCCATCTGATATAAATACACAAATGTACAGCCTAGATGATGACTTCGTCGAAAAGAAAATTTCCTTCGCTGCAACTGTCTTTTTATTCCCTATGATCAAATGTGTATATTCCGTAATAATAAATAATAATGTATCGTCCGAATACATCAACATAGCAATCTCCTAAAAGTCTATCCAGTCCCTTTCCGTCCTATGTCCTCCACCTTTAACCTAGATGATCCCGAATGACTCTAAACAGTATCGTCATTATCACACTTTGTAATGATGGCATATTTTTATTCTTAGTAGAATTTGACATTGTGGTCAGAGTAATAATTCCGCCTGTCTACTCATTCACACCTACACTATCCGCTTATGTGTCTTCAATCGCCAACTGCTTTAATGCTGTAACAACTTGCGTGATTTTGTTATTAGCGCTATTTCGGTGATATTTATTTACCTAATTAATATATGTGTAAAACTTGGGCACTGTGGTAGTAAGTAATTCCATATTAGTTTGTTTATTAGGTATATCACACACACAGTGATGAAACAGTATTATTTACTGGATGACGTTTCGAACAAAATTTATTGTTCATAATCATATCAATTGTGATCACACGACTTTGAAACTTGAGTTTTTTTTGGCTTTCTTTGTTTTCTCCTATTTGTCGTCGGTGAGGTAGTAGAATTTTCCAGATATCTGGGACAGGTGATGAATCATTCCTATTACATGTATTTGCAGTTAATTCGATAAACAAAGCTTCCGTTACCAATCAATCTCTCCCTATACCCTGTGACATTAGATTTTAAAACTGTCATCCTACCCCATCCTATTGTATGGTTGTGTGTAACTGCATGTAGTGAGTGCTATAGCTGAACTATTCTCTAGATTTATTATCTTATTCGGGTCAACCAATCTAGATTTTGCTAGGTTGTTATGCTCGGCTAGTCTGACTGCCCCTGTTCTACTAGTTTGACCTATGTATTTGACCACCTGACAATCATCGCAGGCAGGGTATTAGATAAACTAAACTGTTTTGTTTGAAAGGCTCTACAGAATCCTTTAACCGACAAAGCTTGTTTCTAATTGAGTTTGTGAGTTTGAATGCCGTTTTAATTCCTGCCTCGGAAGCCTTACGCAGAATTCTTAACAAGGCAGGAATTAAAACGGCATTCAAACCCACAAACTCAATTAGAAACAAGCTTTGTCGGTTAAAGGATCCTGCAGAGCCTTTAAAACAAAACAATTTAGTTTATCTAATACCCTGCCTGCGATGATTGTCAGGTGGTCAAATACATAGGTCAAACTAGTAGAACAGGGGCAGTCAGACTAGCCGAACATAAAAACCTAGCAAAATCTAGATTGGTTGACCCGAATAAGATAATAAATCTAGAGAATAGTTCAGCTATAGCACTCACTACATGCAGTTACACACAACCACACAACATTATGGGATAGGATGACAGTTTTAAAATCTAATGTCACAGGGTATAGGGAGAGATTGATTGGTAACGGAAGCTTTGTTTATCGAATTAACTGCAAATACATGTAATAGGAATGATTCATCACCTGTCCCAGATATCTGGAAAATTCTACTACCTCACCGACGACAAATAGGAGAAAACAAAGAAAGCCAAAAAAAACTCAAGTTTCAAAGTCGTGTGATCACAATTGATATGATTATGAACAATAAATTTTGTTCGAAACGTCATCCAGTAAATAATACTGTTTCATCACTGTGTGTGTGATATACCTAATAAACAAACTAATATGGAATTACTTATTTGCATAAGTAGTAAGGCTCTAATCGACCTGATAATTGGCAAAAAGTACTTCCTGTGAACAAATAATAAAATGTATTGAAATCTTTAGCCACAGGCAGCTCAATAAATATATTAAAGAAGGCACATTCCATTCCATTAGATTTATAACTCAAGGGTATATATATTAACACCCTCAGTCCATCTACTGTCATATAGTGCTAACATTCTTTCAACTCGTAATAAGCAACATATATTACAATTTGAATGAAGATTTTATCAAGAACCGACTACGCTAAGAGAATCATTGGAATCCAGGGATCTACTGGACAACTGCTTCGTCCTTGATTGCGACTCTTCTTGAGTGGCAATCCAAGCTTCGACACCAGTGCGTTAGTCTTTCAACTACTGTGTTGGTAAACAAAATGACCCATACATTTGAACTTTTATTTAAGAAAAAAAAATAATTAAACATAGAATATCCTTTTAGATAATTTCCTCTTCCGGGTCTATTATTATATATATGCTTATATACATAGAATATTCTAGATTAGTAGTCAATAACAATATTAGTGTTTCTTAAATAATATCGATTTGTTAAGTAAGATCAATGGAATTACAGTTCATTAAAGATGCTTAAATTATAATAATATTATTAACAGTAAAGATATAATAGCAAATAGAATATCAACTAAAATTAAGGAAATTTCTCCGAACAATTGACGATCATTCGAATTTAGATGGTCAAGGTAAGGACAGTGTCTGAACTAGCTTCTTTTGGACACATAAATTAGGCTTCTTAACGTGGATCCCAACGGCCTCAGCAATATTTAGTAAACGAACTCTTAAGGTGAAATTGGGATTTGTTGGTATGCGGTAAATTACTCTGAAAGCATCGTTGACATCAATCTTGTGTTCTGTATCCACAAGATGAGATAGAAAAGCACTACGAATGGATTTTGTTTATCCTTTACTTAACCACGCGGGGTGTAGAGCCAGAAGAGAAAATTATGCAAAAGGATATTTTTTGCTGAATTATTTTGTTAATTTAACTTTTACGAGCTCAGCCACGGATTTATATCAGTTAGAGAACCATTGAAAACCAGGGAGTACTGGACAGCTGTTGTTTCATCCTAGTCTGGGAATCATCGGCAATAGGCACTTACCGCCAGGACCTTCGGGTTAAAAGGCAAGCTCGTATTCCATTCAGCCACTGGGACCCGAATCAATGACCAGCCCATGAATCCCAACTTCTACCAGTTCGTGATTTAGTGCGACCACCAACCAATGTCATCGGTGGGACATCTATCCTCACACTTGACTGGTTGGACCTCACTGGTCACGACTTCTTACTAGAACTCCAGGAAACGCTGTCCTCTAGCCAAGTCACTTCTGTCAATTCGCAATATAGAGCTACTGTCAAATCAACGATATGGGTGAATATCCGCTTCACCTTCTTCCATATTATTTTTTTTAACTGCAATATTGAAATCCTTATTTTCACCAAGTGATAGACAGGTCAACCGGATTAGTTCATGTCTCATGTAGTTTACGTACTTTGTTTTCCAAAAGGTTGGGTGAAGTAAAGCACAAAATTAACTAGTCAGATCTATCGAATTAGTAATTTACTTATAGTCAACAATTGCAAATCCTACTGCAAAAATGGTTTTAAACACCTCGGAACTTAACTGAATTGCCTATACTGTTTGATCAAAGATACACTAGAACATAAGGAGTCCAGCATAAGTACATACACTGTGTTATTATTATTCCCTCGGGTTCCGAGTAGGGGGCTTCAGCAGCATATCTCCATTTCACCTTATTCTTTTAGCTGACCCTACGACTGCGTATACGGTTTATCCTCTATGTCACCCTCGTTTTCATGCCCGATACGTCCCTTCGCCCTCAGATTCCATTCTAGGGCTTGGCACGTGGCTTTACTCAATTGTCTTCTCAGGTTATATTCAATCTATCTTCATTTCCGTTTACATATTTTTCTGGTTGAGTTGTTGGCAGAGTGTTCCTTACATACACTGCATAGGGCATTGATACTAATTCCTGCCCTCTAAGTCCATTCGTACTTCCATGGCAGAAGAAGCATCAAAGATAGGCCTTCAAGTGAACATAGAGAAATCAGAGGTGATGATGGAGATTGCTGGCCAAAAGCAACAACAATCAGTATAAATGGTAGAAATTTGAAAGAAGCAACCTCCTTTACCTACCCAACTGGGTAGCATTATTTCAACTACAGGCGGAACTGACGAGGATATCAAAGCAGCAAGGATCGGTAAAGCAAGGCAAGCCTTCATTACTCTCAAGTTTGTGTGGTGGTCAACAATACTCAGCATGAAAACAAGATGCGGATTTTCAACTCCAATGTGAAGTTAGTCAGTGCTACTATATGGATCAGAGACTTGGCGCCACATCACGAAGAACACTTCGAACAAACTACAGACCTCCATCAACAGCTGTCTTCGCCCAATACTCAGGTGGCTGGTCAGAAACGTTCAGCAACAGGAATCTCTGGCAATGAGCGAACCAACCAACCAGGAATCGATTGTGCCATAATTAAGCAGGAAGAAATGGAGGTGGATGGGCCACACTCTGAGAAAACCATCAAGTGACATCACTAGACTAGCCCTCGAGTGGAACCCGAACGGGAAGCGGTGAGTCAGTCGTCAGTGGGTGGGTGACATGGACAAGATGAAAGCATTTGAGCAGACATGGAGCCAGGTGAAAACGTTGGCAGAGAACCAAACGCAATAGTGACGTGCGGCTGAAGCTCTATGTTCCTCTAGGAACTAAAGGAAACGATAATAATAATAAATAGTGTGTAAAATGTGCACAAATTCTCAATTACTATCATCAGCATAGCTATACATATATATTTTTTCTTTATACAAATTTACACACTTTGTTTATTACATATACGACCATTATATGTGGAAGCAATTTGTAAGAGTTCTTTGCCAATAGTTTGTTCACTGGTTAAATTATCATGAGTCCGTGGAGTGAATATATCGCTTAATTCACGAAATGTCATAGCAATTCGTCTAGTTGGTATATCTGACCGTCTGATTTCATGTTGCCATAAATATCGTGCTGGTCCACTGACTACAACTAACGAGCGTCTATCCAGTCGTACACGTATACAAATCTACAAACAAACAAAAAATATGAAGAGAAAGTGTACATGTACACTGCAGTTATTTAATCAAGTGGGCAACTTTTATCAAGATGAGTAGAATAAATGTATCCTGCTGGAGAGTGAGCATTACTCACACGAAATGATTGACTGGGGATGTTAACGTACAACTTTGTATATATATGTGTGCATCAGTTCAAGTTGCCAATATACAAAAAGGACACACACGTGAAAGTTGGCTGGAAAAAGAATGGCCAATTTCCGACTCTGGATTCGACATAGAACTTGCCACCGAAGTGCTGCAGTTCGAGTTGCCACGTCCCAAATACCACACAAAGGTAGACAAGAAAATGAGTGTAGAGAATCAATAGAGTTTTGACAAGCATAGGAATGAAACAGAGTGAGTAATGGTAGAAAGGAATATGAAAGATTACAGAGACTGAATACATCTGCGTAAGCCATTGACAACGATTTTGAGCCATGTCACCTATTGTCTCCAGCCATTGATTCTTAGAGTCCCGAGGGCGGGCCCCAACCCGGAAGTCTGCATCTCCCTCCCTACCTGACTCAGTTTAACTGTCAAGGATTTCATGGATTGATGAGGCCATGTTTTTGTTTGGCCGCCACTTACTCTTTTCCAACCTGCACCTATATCAGCTAGTAATGCCCGTCCGTCGGGGGAGGCGATGGTTAGGCATGCGCAGAACGTGACCTAGCCATCTCAATCTATGTAACTTTATAGTCTCGTCGATTGATTTTCCCTCTTTGCCCAACACTCTACGCCTAACGTCAACATTACTTACCACCTTATTATACCATCTAACGTGAGAAAGAGATCGTAGACATCTATGATCAAAAACAGTCAACCTTTTCATGTCCTCAACTCGTCTTGGCCATGTTTCAGAGCCATAGAGGAGAAGGACGGAGCGAACTGCTGAGCAGTACACACACGTCCCTTGGTTGATAGCCGGATGTCACGCCTACGCCAGAGGCGTACTAACTGAACTACTTAGATTGAATTCACTAAACTTAAAGTAAAACACTAGATTTTTGGAAGTTGTTTGACTTACACCCGTTGCAGCAAGTTAGTAAACTGTGTAGTGACGACACTGCTCAACAGATAGCTGATAACATTGACATGGTGGTGAGACTTGCATGTCATGAAGATCCGACCACCTATACTCACTGGAACTAATGTTTCATGCCAGAAGGATCATTTGGTTAGCCAGTTAAACTAAAAGCAATTACCATCATAATTTAAACCATCCTCATCATGCTGGCACTCTGAGGATGAAATCACACTGCTGCCGAATAAGAATGTAAGCGCAGCAATATGTCTCCCTCAGAGGATAAGCAAGCCAGCCATGCTGCCTCACCACACTGTCGGGATGGATGGTTGGTTAAAGTTAACCCCCGAAAAGTGTATATCCGGATTTACCTCCTCGCGGTCCGTAATCGATGACACGGTAAGATCATCGCATGAGGACACAATTCCAAAAAACCACCTTAAATATTTGTCTCTCCTGGATTCTGCATTCATGTAACAAAGTTTTTTTCTCTTTCCCTAATTTCAAGAAGAAATCACCTTCCACGGGGTGAGAGCAACAACCCTTGCATCAGCGTACAAATCTTTCCTAAATAGTAACACATTAATTCATTCGTACTTAAGTGGATCCACTAAATAAACTCTTATTGGAACAAAGCAAGAACTACAGTTTTAGCAGAATAAATTGGTACCATCTTTTATTTCGTTGCCTTCTCGTCAGCTGCTCACAGGGTAAAGACATTATTAAATATCACTAGCCATAGCCTATCCTGCAGCTAAGCTGGTTCCCGTCTATCGAACAACTTGCTCTTTGGTGGAATCAAAAATTGATAGATATCATTCATATGCTGTTAACTTCAACTGTATATACGAATTTACATGTATCTGTGGGAGCAGTTACATTGGAAGGACAGAAAGAAGAAGGGCATATCTACGATTTTCTCAACATGTACCTACAAAAATCTTACGTCTCCAGTGGGGAACAAATGCTTTAAACAGTGCCATCGCCAGGCATCTCCTCGACACGGGTCATGAGGTGGACGTCGAAAAGTCGTTCAAAATTATCAATAGGCAAAAGAGCTCAATTCTCCTCAAGTTTGCTGAAGCCATTTCCATCAATCGCCTGAAACCTGATTTGTGCGTCCAGAAAGAAGCGGTTATCAGTCTTTCTTTGCCCTGGTAACTGGATATTTTCATCTCTCTTTCATCTGAATGCGTAATGCTGAAAAGTTTCCATTGTGTATGATTATTATTGTTCGGAATAGTGTTTAATATTACATATATATATTATTGTATGCGTATATTGGTCGATTGATTTTTGTTTAAAATGAACTCTGTGCAAGTATGTTAAAATTGTTTTTGTAGATATATTTAATAGTGTCTTCGCTTTGTAAGCAGCTGACGAGAAGGCAACGAAATAAAAGATGGTACCACTTTATTCTGCTAAAACTGCAGTTCTTGCTTTGTTCAAATTCATTAAGGGGAATCAATGTATCAAAATCTTATTTGAACAAATTTTGCACACAATTTGAGTGTTTATCATATACAAGACTTCCGAAATATCTCTTCACCTACTAATTATCCTTTAATGAGTAGTGTGGAATAAATTAAGAAAGGTATTTATTATTATAATTATTTCCTTCACGTTCCTAGTGGAATATAGGGCTTCAAGCTAGTGGCTTGAAGTTTCTGTAGCAGTGTTCATTTTACAGGATGGGGTTGCTAGCCTCATGCCCAACCTTTCCTATTCACCAGCATTATTTCTTTCTTAGCGAGGTAAAGGAGTGCGTCGACCGGGGATCGAACCCCGGACCATGTGCATGGTCGGCGAGCGTCCTAACCAATATGCCACCGACGCATAAATTAAGAAAGGTATAGTGTATTTTAATTGATGCTTGAAACATTCTACCACGTATGTATATGTACATCAATGTTACCATGACATCTCCAAGAGGCAGTTAAATAGTAATCCCCTGCACTCATATTTTGCATTATTCTGTAAGTAAATAAAGCAGCATTTTCGCGTGTGTGTGATATCCTCGTCAATATAGAAAATATCCCCATTTAGACATTTGGAAAACAGAAAGATTGAGCGAAGAAATATTGACTTTTCAATTAGATCCTCTTCTCTGGTTCTACTCTAATATATATAGCATATTTACAATACACAACAATTTACCAAACAAGTGGTGTGTGTCTACCAGTTTGACTGCAGCTTCGGAGCCAGCTACATTGGGCGTACAACTAGGCAGTTTCATCGTCGTATTTCCGAACATCATCCAACATGGTTAAGCAAGGGATAAACAAGATCTATTCGTAGATAGCTCTATTTAGCACACCTTGTTGATAATGAGTATAAGGTTGACGTTAATACTGCATTTAAAATTATTTATCGCATTCCAACCAATCTTAATTTTGCTCTACGAGTTCGTCTTCTACATACCTGCAGGTGAAGCAATAGGAATCCACCTGAAGAAGCCAGACCTGTGTGTTCAAAAGAAATTTGTGCAGCCACTTTCCTTGCCTTGGCCATCGTTACATGAATGTGTAAACCGGACTACTTCGCTCCCCTCCCCCTAAACCTTTAAAATTATAATTGTCCAAATTATTTTATTTTTATTTATTTTGACCACTTCATCTTTAATTACGTGTTATCCTTGTAAAATTAATTTATTCTATCCATTTCTACCTTTTAAATTTGCATTGATTTTCTTCGTTAATTATCAACCCATTGACATTTTGACACTGACTAATTATTGTGAACAAACATATCAGTGCCACTTGATTGGTAAATTGTTGTGTATTGTAAATATGCTATATATATTAGAGTAGAGCCAGAGAAGAGGATCTAATTGAAAAGTAAATATTTCTTCTCTCGCTCAATCTTTCTGTTTTCCAAATATCCTCGTCAGATGAAAGACTATGGCATAGTTCAGATAGGAAAGACTTCAACAAGACACTTACTTACACTTGTAGGTAGGTTTCACAGTTTAGGTAATCACCACATGTACCTTTGTTGTTTTTTTCATACTGAATTTTACAAACGACTGACAAGACAACGTAAAGATTACACGAGTCATGTGACTGAGAGAGCAACCTGCACGTCTTGTTTACACCTGAGAGCAAAATTAACCAGTCTAACATTTACAGGGTGTTAATTATGTTAGAGAGAGAGAGAGTTTATGGCATTCCACCAATCGATGCAACCTGACCTTGTTTCTCGTGGTTATTGATTATTTTGATGTAAACGCCCATTACCTGGGATTGACCCTGGATCAGTGTCGTAAATGTGATTCACATCAATAGCTTTGGTACGTCATCTTTTCTTGCGTAGTTGTGTTGTTTCCTCTATATTTTAGGAACAGATAGAGTTTACGTTCAGTCACCTGAGTTTTAGACTATAGTGAGGCTTACACTCTGTATCATCAGTACTGATAGTGACGAGTAAAGTCTGTAGACAAATTTAATTCTACAGAGAGGTTCAGTTCAAAACCATTTGACTAGGGGCCCAACCGAAAGCTGCTACCTGGACGTGGTGGTCGGGCTTGAACACCGCAATGATCCAACAAGCTATACTGGCTGAGACTTATGTCGCTTGAGGTCCTACCATGCCAGAAAGGTTGTTTAGATAGCGGTCAGACAAAAAGCAGTTACCCAATCCAATGCTATGACTCAAAGTAAATCACAAAATATCATGCCGGATCGGTCGGGGCCCGGATTAACAACTACTGCGCTTCCTGCTGCCGTGTCACAGGGCAGAAGTGATAAATATGCTACTGAGACACACCAAACAAGAAAGAACAAACAAAAACAGGCCGCGTGTGACCGGCCTCAAGCAGTTGTCCCTTGGGCTTTGCGGTCAGGCAACCAAATTCCACGGTGTGGGCAGCCGGGAAGTAACAATCGCCCTCACAATCCGAAATTTCACTAGGGGTGGCAATAGTAAAGAATAGACACCAACTTCAAACGACCTTGAAACAACCAATCACATTCTTCCAGGTTGAAAGTAGCATTTAATTAATAAACAAGTACATTTATGATACGTACATGTAATAAAAATCAATTATACAGGGTATATGTCTCTAATATGCTGCAAAATCTGGTCTCAATTTCTTATAGGAGTGGCTGTAGACATATCAAACCTATATCGATACAAAAACTCATCTAAATGGCTATATACCATATCATTTCGGGAACCATTTCCCATCCTAATACGTTGTTTTCAGGTGGACCCAGAATCATTCAATGAAATTTCTGTGGGATCCAGTTATAGGATCCACTAATTAAGAAGAATGGTTGACTTTATGATGAATATAACCTAGTGATTATAGTTACGAATAACCTCTCCACTCATCTGTGTGAATGGTAGTGCCTCAGAGAACTAGTCGTTCTTATAATTTTTTTATTTTTATTTTGATTACAGCTTGATGCCACACCGTATTTTCAGTACAAGTATGGAATTTTCAGCATGGATATCGGTAGCCCAAATTTTGCAGGCCGACCATAGATATCGGGTGTACGTCGGCAGGGGATCGAACCCCGGACCATGTGGATGGTCGGCGAGAGTCCTAACCACTGTGCCACCGACGCAAATCAGCATTTCTGTTTGGGGTGTGTTATACAAACCCTTTTCGAAGATATTTATGTTGTACAGTCCCAGCACCCAAACATGATTTGCTCTCCTCCAACCGCGATCCATCCTTTCGTCCAATAAGTACTATTTCGTCAATATGAACAACGACACCATTGACCCATTGACCTTTGTGACAAAATATCCCTACAGTGCTGGTACCATTACACTGTTAACATTTCAGTATTCTCTGTTTCTGCACCTGTAGCAGATACTGGTCGCTTCAGTAGCGAGTTACGCAATATTTTGCTAAGGAAGAGTTTTGATTTCGAGAAGAAAGTATCTAAAAAATCACCATAAATCACCACGACTTACCAACTCTTACAGGCTTTCTCATATAACAGTGGTTGCATCTGAATGCATAACCATCAATAGCCCGGTAATACTTTCGCATTATTTCATTATCCCTCCCTATCACAACCGATTTTCCACACCAAAGTCAAAAACTAAATCTGGTTAAGACTTGCAGAGAAGGTTATGAACAGTATCCAATTGCTGTAAACTGAGCAATCTGATTGGTTGATTCAAGGTCATCTGACTATGGTGTTTCTTCTTTACTCTTACTCTAGACTCAGATGAGAAACTATTCACAGCAAGACAATCTAGTACAGAATTTAGTCACATTCATCAGTGAAATTGGCTTTAAAAGCGCAAAAAGTTGGTTATCTCCTTATATGTTTGATTTCGCAACTATGTTTCACTGAGATTAGCAATCAAATTCCCCTTATCTTTAAAGTATATATATATATATAAATATATATATATATACATAGAAAAGAGAAGGCGTTCAGCAAAGTTACTCTTTTCGGCGATAACATTCTCAAGCTGCACAAACCGTAAATACGTATTTTTCTGGATTGCTTGGGAATGGACGTTCAGGGTCTCTCGTCGGCTTCAGACTTTTAATAAGGTTTGACTTGACATTCTCACATTGTTTCTGTGCAACTTCTTCGACATATTCTTGGAACGATTGGCGTAGTTCTTGGGCTCAATCGTGGACTGCGTGAGCTCGTAAGCTTACTGCTCCCAAGAAACTTCTATATTTGAATCTACAATTCAACGGAGATTCTTCAGCAGAAATACTGAGAAACCGCCTGTGCCTTTCACTAAAGAAAACCTTCTTCGCAGCTGAACTCAGACTAACTTTCTCTACGAAACCAATGATTCGCACGAACGTGAAGGATAAGCTTCCACAATCAATGTGCATCTACCAATTCACCTACTCATGTGGAGCTAGGTATGTCGGCCGTACCCAGCGTTTGCTATCCAAACGAATCAGCGAACACTTACCTTCATGGTTTTATAAAGGAGAAAGAAGATCCCCCCCGCCACGGCTCCATCCTAGAACACTTGATCGAATCCGGACACCAAGCAAACCCACAAAACGACTTCTCAGTTATCTACACAATACGTGGGAATCTTGCCAAAAGAGTACGAATTAAACTTCTTCAAACTGCAGAAGCAATGGCAATTCACATATTGAATCCTGAACTCTGCATACAAAAGAAGTTTGTTCAGTCACTAAATCTACAATGGTCCTGATCTATCTTAACACCAAATACGTAATTTTGTCTTACCTCTTTCTTCTTTGTTTGTCTGTTTCTTAATTGCATTATTTTCTACCCCCACCCTCTATTAAATCTCTACCCTCATGACGACTGTTGCTAACTCCATTTTCGTTTACTTTTAAGTGAACTCTACTCAGATTATTAACTTAACTCTCATTCACTTTCAAGTGAATTCTACTCAGATTATTAACTTGACTCTCATTCATTTTTCATTGAACCCCATCAATTAGATTACGTCGCCCAACCTACTTTTGTAATTTTATTTTAGTTTCTAACTGATTAACGCTTTCTAAATTACGTAATTTTTTGTCAAAAAATTAACAATTGCATTAACACATCTTTGGAAATATTCCTTTTGTTGCCAAGATAAATTACTATAAATTTGCGGTTTGTGCAGCTTGAGAATGTTATCGCCGAAAAGAGTAACTTTGCTGAACGCCTTCTCTTTTCTATGTATATATATATAATATATATATATATATATGTATATAATTCCTCTTCATTCAGATTATGTGCCTGAGATACCATTAGGACTGCTTATAAAAAACTGTCTTCTGTGAATAGTGTAGTTAATTCTACCTTACGAGAGACTTTTTTCGAATACAAACTCATTTTTCAAAAAAAAACATCCATATTAATGTTATCACCAAATTTATAAACTTTTTTCTTAAGGAATGTTGCATCCCAAATATGATTAACAAAATACAGAGATATGTAACCCAGAAATCGATACATTTATCGATTATTTTCAATTGCTATAAATTCATACCAATGCAGTGACGATGATAGCATTTACCACAATGATGAATAAATAGATGATGTTAGTTTGACTGCACACTAGTCGGCGTTCAAATTATACAATACCGTCCCTTACAGGAGGTCAATTGCAAGCCCGAATATCTAGCTCAGTGGTAACGTCTGTGACTGCATCACAAACTGGATGATGAGAGTTTGAATCTCAGCAGGGACACGAGTCCCTTCAAGGTTGCAGACACGCCTTGCTGACGACTGCCAACTAGTAGCACGCAACCTAGATCCAAGGTTTCCCCTGTCGATTGTCTCTAATCATCTAACATTCAACAATTCAAAGTTGATGTTAGCGTTAAGTTACGTACGACCAAGTTGGTCATAGAAATACCAGTGAAACTTATAATAATAATTCGGAAACATTTATTTCCTAATAGGAATTTATAACAAACAACAAAGGTTAATAAAGCAGGATTTAACGAATTCATCAGACCCCGGCAGAACTCTTCAGCCGAATATTCTACATACGGGGATACATATATGTATATATTTAATAGTGGAAATACATTGGGAGATATAAGACTGATAGGCAAATAAACTACTTTGAATTAATCATGTAAAACAACACGTGTGAATGGATTTTCAGATCATGTTCAAATAGATAAGGAGTAAAGAGTATGAGACATTAAAATTAAGATAGAATGAATTACGGTTTAATTACCTTAAATAAACAATTAGTTGTCAGTGAGTGAAAGAACATGAATATATTAAGAATTGCAAACTAAACTCTTATTATTACTATTTCTGATTCATTTAAAACTATCTTTTCTGTCTGTCTGTCTGGATTCAACATAGAACTTGGCACCGAAGTGCAGCAGTTCGAGTTGCCACGTTCCAAATAGCACACAAAGGTAGACAAGAAGATGAGTGAAGAGAATCAATAGACTTTTGACAAATATAAGAGTGAAACAGAATGAGTAATGGTAGAAAGGAATATGAAAGATTACAGAGACTGAATACATCTGCGTAAGCCATTGACAACGATTTTGAGCCATGTCACCTATTGTCTCCAGCCATTGATTCTTAGAGTCCCGAGGGCGGGCCCCAACCCGGAAGTCTGCATCTCCCTACCTACCTGACTCAGTTTAACTGTCAAGGATTTCATGGATTGATGAGGACATGTTTTTGTTAGGCCACCACTTACTCTTTTCCAACCTGCACCTACCTATATCAGCTAGTAATGCCCGTCGGGGGAGGCGATGGTTAGGCATGCGCAGCACGTGACCTAGCCATCTCAATCTATGTAACTTTATAGCCTCTTCGATTGATTTTCCCTCTTTGCCCAATACTCTACGCCTAACGTCAACATTACTTACTTTATTATACCACCTAACGTGAGAAAGAGATCGTAGACATCTATGATCAAAAACAGTCAACCTTTTCATGTCTTCTAACTCGTATTGGCCAATGCAATTCTAATAGTATATATATCCCTGTATGTAGAGTATTCAGCTGAAGAGCTCTGTCGAAATTTGATGAATTCATTAAATCCTGTTTCACTAACCTTTGTTGCTTGTTATAATGGATTTATTGTTTTATTCACAATATGGCAAGCTACTCTTTGCCAACGGAAAATTCGTCAAGCAGGTAGCACTGTCAGACTTCACATAAAATAGGTGAGGTGTAGAAGCATGTGTATCGGTGGTAGAACTGTCGTCAACCATTTAGGTGAGGGCCGACTCCAGGCCACATTCATGAATCTGGCTTAGCTATTAATAAGGCCGGGAAAAAAATAGGGAAGGTTAGATGTGAGGGTTACAATCCTGACCCCACCCCCTCCACATCCAGCAAACAAAAACAACACCATCGCTAACACTGAAACTGATAGCTTGAAGCCAGAACTCAAGAGAGAATGACTGCTGAATTACGCAAAAAAAATGAGATTGTAATCTACTTCCAAACAATCAATGAATACTAAAACTCACCGTATTATCTGTTAATATCTCTCTTGATAAACATGATTGAATACGTTGAATTTCGTCATTTATCCCGTTTACAATAATATCATTTGAAGGGAGTGTAAAAGTTAGGCAAGTTGAACCGCATAAATTAAGCGTCACCAGTCGTTCACCCCATAACCATGAATCATCAAAGTGAGGTACAATACAAGCACCACGATCTGATCTATATTCTAAATTGCATAATTCCACTGGAAGAAATTCTTGACCAGGAGGTATTTTTTCTTTTAATTGATTATTGTATCGAGTAATAAGAAATTTAGAATATGCGGGTAAACCGCGAAATTCACCAACATGAACTTTTTGTCGTTTAAAATTTACTTTAGGTCCATAATCCTAAAAATGTTAAATATAAGTGGGTAGGTAGTTAGGTAGGTAGATAAGTTGAATGATTGACAAGGGGTTTCAACATTGAACTTTTCACAGAAGTGAAACAGTTTAGTTTTCCATACTCCAAGTTGTACATACATACACAAGAGACATCAACCATCATGTTGATGACACAAAACAGACCAGAGATTCATAAAATACAATCATTCTAGGCTAATTTAAACAAGTGCAAGTCAATACTAAATCACAAAACTAGTTATAGCGCACGTACACATACACTAAGTCAACAAATCATTCGTGTAACCTTAAAGCACTTCACTACTTTATGAACAGTACTAATAATAATAATAATAATAATAATAATTTGCTTTATTCCAGAAACAGTACTAGTGGTACAGTGTGGAACTTTCAGCACATATCTACAATATTTGCATCTAATTTTATCTAACATTTAAAATAAGTATTAAACAAACAAAAAAAAAATAAATCTGAAGACACCAACAGCAAAAAAAAACGGGATAAACACAGAATAATTATAAATGCGAAAAAGTACAAAAGTCTACCAAAGTCTAATGCAGTGTTTGTGGTGGTAGTGTGAGTAATCCTGAATAATACAAAATTTTTTTAAGGTGGTGACTATGGCGTTCACAACCAATGATTGTCAGTTTAATATTGCCGAAAAGTATAGTAAATAAGAAGAAACAGCCACAAAACTAATATTACATGATGGTTAATGACAGGACAATTTTGTAATACTCATAGTGCTTACAGAGTCGGAACCAGTAGGTACACAAAAAAAGGAATACAGTAAAGTACAAAAAAGGAAGCCAATGTTAATAATTTAGGTAGCTAAGTATGTTTGAGAAGGAGTTCACTAAAGAATACAAAATAAGAGAGAAATAAAAGAGCCTAAAATTATGTTGTTAATAACAAAGCAAGTCATAAGTTTCACGTTTAACATTGTCTCTGTCGCTTAGAACACGGGCCAAGTATGGTATCCTTGAGTTCCTGTACTTGGTTGTACGAGCATAGATTATTTTATACTGATTTTTGGTTCTACTTGATGAGATACAAGGCGAGAGTTGGGAATAGAGAGGGTGTTGAGGGTCGGAGAGTACGGTTTTTGATCATTTTTCGCATGTATTCAGATGCCTATCAACTAAAGTAGTGACGAGCTGACTGAGTTTTACACCACTAGTCCTACTGACTACCTTCAACATCCTTCTCAGGATGGCATAGTCTTTTTTCAGTAGACCAGGAAAGACTAACGGGGAGCAGTAAAGTAGAATAGGTAAGATACAAGAGTTGACAAATTGTGAAAGTAGAGGTTGGGTGATTCCAGATTGTCTAAGTTTCTTAATGTAGTAGGTAAGACAGAACACTTTCTTAGAAATCATTAGGATATGAGATGTCCAAGTAAGGTCAGAAGACAGAACTAGACCGAGGTATTTTAGTCCCCTCAATGCAACAGTCTTCATGAGAACTTACTAGTGTTTGTAGATCTCGTTTATGCCTAAAGGAGAAGTCAATAGTCTGGCATTTTGAGGGATTCAGCATGAGACCATTTAGTTTGGACCACTCACTGATGTCCGACAGGAAGCTATTTAATTTGAGACAGTCTGACTGAGACTTAATGGGAAACGATACAGACAGGTCATCTGCATATTTGACGAAGTTGATTTCATCTGAGAGAGGTAAATCATGTAAGAAGAAGGAAAAGAGAAACGGAGAAAGAACAGCACCCTGAGGAACTCCAGCTTCAGTAAGCAAAGGAGAGGAAGATACACCATTATATACCGTGTACTGCATCCTATTAGAGAAGTAAGAGTGTAGCCAGTTGATAACCCAGGGCTCAGTTTGTGTAAGGCTAAGCTTGTTTAACAATAGGCCTCTAGGTACAGAGTCGAAAGCAGATGTATAGTCAAGGAACGTACAACGGACAAACTTGGCCCCTTTGTCTAAGGAGGATACAATGTTGTGATGAAACACAGCAGCAGCGTCCAAAGTACTTCTACCCTGTTTGTAAGCAAACTGCTATGGATCGTTTGAGAAACTTAGGGAGGGAACAAGTTTTAGTAACAATAGTTTCTCCATTAGTTTCAAAAAAGGAGAGGTAATAGCGATAGGTCTAAACTTAGCATTATTTCCAGAGCCTGACTTGGGTACAGGGATGATTTTAATATTTTTCCACAGAGAAGGTACAACATTATTAGAAAAAGAAGTATTAAAAATGTTTGTAAGTGGGTTGCTTAAAATATCAGCACATTTCCTTAGGACAATGGCAGGTATACCATCAGGACCTGGACTCTGGGAAGGTTTAAGAGATTTTAAACATTTAAGAACATCAGCAGTTTTAAAACTATTAAAGTCACTGGTCATGTTACTTGTTACATTGAAGCTAAAATGTACATTGGGAAGGCGGATAAAAGATCTATTAAGAGTATTTACATCAATAGAGGGAGCACAAGAACTATGCTTACCACAACCTGTAATTTCTTTGAAAAGCTTCCACATGTTCCCAGGAGTTTTATATGACAAAATTCTTTGATTATAAATATTGTTTAACCTCTTGATTTCGGATTTAATTTGGATGTTTATTCTCCTAAGACCAGCTTTATCCTTAGCCTTGTACAGTCTCTCTTTTTCTCTTCGAAGCTTTTTGAGATGAGGAGAAGAGAAACGGTCTATTCTTTTGAAAAGTAGTAGTACTAGTAAACATTAACATACCGATAATGGACGGTTTATGATTAAAGTAAAGCAGGACACCAAAACAACAGTCTGATGGCATCATTCACTGAAATCCACAACAGTTAGTTTAAGTCAGCCACGTAGGAAGGTGTAGACTTCCTGACTGATTGGGGTCCTCGGGACGGTAAACACCAATGACTGAAGACAACTGGTGCAGTTGCATCCACTCCTTGTGACTTATAATTTACAATAGAACTATATTGTTCTTTGATGTTACTACTCTGTTTGCCTCATATCTCTGTTTACTGTCTCTATTTTGCATTTCTTTTTACTTTCTTCTCTTGCTTTGTTTGGTACACAGAGGGAGTGTGGCGACTTGAACTGCTGCACATCGATGCATAGTTTTATGTTGCAACTAGTCAGTCAGTCATTTAGTGTCTCAATCGCATAAGTTTGTGTCCTTCAACCCTTCTCACTGACTATGATAAAAAATATGACCGGTGTCTAAACCTTAACCGGATAAAATGTCCATAAGAAAACAGTTCTTTCTAAGGAGAAAAAAAGATTCCGGGGGCACTGACACAAAAAAAATCAATATTTCAGGTGGTATTCATGATGCATTTAGTTTTTTCAGTGTCATTTATTTAAAGTCTGTTATGTCATTCTTTGCGTCGGTGTTATAGCGCTTAGGAAGCTTGCCGGCCATGCACATGGTCATGGGTTCGATTCCCGGCCACAGACGCACTGCTTTACCTCGCTAAGCCAGAAATAATGCTGGTGAAGAGGAAAGGTTGGACATGAGGCTAGCAACCACATCCTGTAAAATAAACTGCTACAGAAAATTCAAGCCACTAGCTTGAAGCCCTATGTCCCACTGGCGAACGTGAAGAAAAAAGAATGTCATTCCTTACAAAAACGAAATAGCCGATGCGACCATCTGGCGTTTACAATCCCATTGAAGAGTTGGGAAATTCTGATCCCAAAGAGCAGCAGTCTACATGGGCTCCAGAATCTGAAAAGATCGGATAGTGTTGTACCTGCTTTAGGTACCGGTAACATAGCTCCTGACACTGATTCACTGGCTTGTGGCTTAGACTTGAAGTCGAGAGCTCGAGGGTTGGCCTCTTAAGACAGGCAACTGCTTCGCTCTGGGCTTCCAGGCAGTATCGCAGCCTTCGGACAAACTATAAGATTTTCTGCAGTGCGTCTGATGATGCCCATAATATAATAATGACGATAACAATAATATCCACTTTTACAGAGAGAGTACTTCGAAAAGAAACATTTTTGTTTCTCATTGTAAACATAAAGCCACCGAAAAATGAGAACACACTAAACGAATCACCACAATATAAACATGAATCATGCTTACCTGTTTTCTTCTGCCAGACTGAGATAAAAACCATGGTTGTTCATCAATTGCACTAATCAGCATAGCTTCTTCACTTTCACTAACAAAATCTTGTATAACTTCAACACCGGGAAAAGAGAAACCATTTTCATGTGTATGAGCTTCACCTGATAAACTAGACTTTTCAATTTCTGCTATACAACATTTAGAGCAAAAGGTGAATTCGGAAACCTGTTGGCCAAACTGAACATTATGATTGGGGGAATTTACCGTACACTGTCTGGAATACTACTGTTGACTTCGCAAACGGCACAACTTCGAATTCCTTTACATCCACACTTGGGTAGCATTGATAACGTGTCTACACAGGAAGTGACAGAGAGAAATAGGTGATTAAACAGCACTTCTAAACACATATGATATAAACTTCATGCAATTATTCCCATTAATAAACTTGAACAAAGCAAGAACAACAATTGTACCAGGATAATTTGAGCTCATTTTTTATTATTTCGAGGATTCTTCTCAACTGGTTACAACCTGAACGATGAAAAATATGAATTACATTACATTAAAGATTTGAACATAATTTTCCACGATCACAAGGAGTAATTGGTAGGAAGTGAAAGTAACATTAGTCCGGAATGATTTAACTAATTAAGAGTTACAAAGACTGACTATTTATAGAATAATTAGACAATTAGGCTTGGAAACAAAAACAGAGTTGCATATATATATATATATATATATATGTATTGAAACAAGGTTTAGCTAGAAGGAGCATAACAAAAAAGGTAGATTACGTAACTTAAGAAAATGTTTTATTTAATAGCCAATAGAAAAAAGGAAGAGAAAAGAACAAGATAGGGTGAGTCATGTTTAGATGAGATAGTAGAGTTTCCTAAACAAGAAGAGTGACTCATACAAGTTGTATATTTTGTTATCACCAGGGCAGTGCAAGATTCACCACTGTCTCTTTCTGCGTACATAGATTTGGTTTAAGTCGTTTGATAGCAATTGCTTCAGCAAAGCGTAGCAAGCTAGGTTTCTCTTGTTTGTTGATTATTTTGAATGACTTCAAGTTGTCTACATTATGACCAGTGTCTAATAGATGACGCGCAATTGCACTGTTTTATGCTTGTGGACCTTTCAGTCTCAGGTTCTTTGGTATGTCTTCAGAAATGCGGACAATAACCCTTTTCTCTGTTCTGCCGATGTATGTGCTTTGGCACGTACATGTAAATTGGTAGACACAGTTGAAGGTAACATGAGGTGGGTATTTGTCCACTTTTGATTGTACAATATTGGTAAACACATACAAGCTTGGCGGCTGGATATGTTCTTTTCAGGGCAGCGTTCAGTCTGCATCTTATTCTACTGGCAATATCATCACCTTTGAATGCAAGCTGCAGAAAGATAGGCTTTTCCTCTACTGTGCTGCTTTTCACTTTTTCAACATGACGTCTCCCATACTTGTCAATGAACTTTTGCGGGTAACCGTTGTCGAGTAAGCATTTCTCCACAATGGATAGCTCTTCGTCAATCTTTTCTTCTGAACACAGCTTCCTTACACGATCAAATAATGTTCTCACCAATCCTTTTTTGTAACTTATAGGGCAGAAACTTTTGAAGTCAAGATAAACCGCCCTCCAGGTCTCTTTTCTGTGTATATATCTAATGATTTTGCCGTCTATATCTCGCTGGATACCCAGGTCAAGAAAATGGAACTTCTCCTCTTTTTCATGCTCCATTGTAAACTTAATATAAGGATGGGCGCTGTTCAAGACTTTTAGTACTTGAGATGCATCATCAAAAGAATTACAAATAACGAAAGTGTCGTCGACATACCTGGTATAAAAGTCGGTCTGACTGATTGTGGATTTCAGCCTTGTTTGTTCGAGACTACCCATAAAAATATCTGCCAGAATCGGACCCAGGGGGCTTCCCATGGCGACTCCGTCAATTTGGCGGTACAGAATGTTGTTGAACTGGAACTGTACGTCTTTGGTGCACATAAGTAAGAGTTGTTTGAGTTCGTTCTTGGGCAGAGGAAGAAGTTCGGCATGTTGGAATATAATTTGTATTGTTTCTTCCAATGGGATCTTTGATAACAGGATAACCTTGTATTCAATTCATTGATACTCAATGTATTATATTCAAGAAGTTTTCCTCCTATCCGTTACTTTTCTTTTACCCTTTAAGAGGGATATTCAGTAGTGATTACAACTGAAGTTCTCTGGCTACTTATTTATATCAGCACTACACATACCAACCGTTTATCAAATTATTAACTCTGAATACATAAATCCATGGAATACTGCATCATTTCACTTTGAAAATGATGCATTACCATTGTGAGTCACCAAAATATCTACAGATTCGTAATATTGAATTCCTGGCTATTACGATACTGTTGCTGCTGAAAAACCAGTAAACAGGGTGGAATTTTAACTACTTCACATTTCGATAATAAGTTCCTGAAGAATTCCATGGAGAGTACAAGCCTGATGTGTTTTCAACCACCCATACATGAAATCTTTAACCACATAGTGAAAGCCAGTGTAGTACACTCCAACTCTGACCACCTCTAGCACCGTCGCGACAACACCTGTCTGTCAAAGGTAGGATGTACTATGTATCTGCGCGCGCAACCTTGTCTTACGCCTGTGAAACTTGGTCTCTTCGAGTTGAGTATGTACGGTAACTCTGAGTATCTGGTCGTCACTGACTTTTTACAACTATTTTCGTCTGATGGCATCACCATACAAAAGTAATCCTTAAGTCCAACAGCGTGTGTTTGGACATGGAGGTCATTTTTCATTGAGCACTTTCACCTTGAAACGTCGACTTCGGTGGCTTGGACATGAGCTAAGAATGTCATTCCAGTCGTTGTTAGCTAGACTTGGGGCTAGATGGAAAAAGCCGAAAGGTGTTCAGCCTATGATGTGGCACCGTGGGATAAATGATAATTGTGTTAGGTTAACATCACGACTCCATGCGTGGAGTCAGAGACATAATTTGAATCTGTTGCTTGAGACGTTATTCAAGACAGCCAGGAATCGTATTCAATTGCGAACATACTGAAGTTTCATTCTTTCTTCTGTCTCTGAAATTAACATGAAGTATCCAGCCATCCTTTGGATGATCTTGACAAGTATGCTTACCTGCCTTCTGGCCGATCTGACCACCCACATAAGAACTGACTAACACCATTATGGAAGACTTCGAGCAACAAATTTAATGACGACGTTTTAAGGAAACACAACAAAGAACCACATTTTCCAGAAAGTTCTTAAAATTCTGGAGCTGCCAACAGAATTGATTCCAGGCCGAGACGAACGAAAATGATGGGTGATAAAATAATGGAGGAAAGGTAAATTCTATGACAAGCAGTATGAATGAATGGTAAAAATAAATCGGTGGTAAATGGGCAGAACAGAATAAATGTTGGAAAGAAGAGTGATGATGGGTAATTCCCAAAACAAATCTCCTGGATTTCTTCAACAGCTCATTTATGGTCAGTAGTATAATGGTTTGTCAAAAATTACCGCGAAATAAATTAAGTGACACATTCTACTACTGCAAATACGACAATTCTATGTATACAGCAGTTTCCAAAAGGATTCGAAAGTAATCAAAAGTTTTGTAAGAACACACACGTGTCATACTTACACTTTGTTCCACTGGTGCTATCGCATCACTATCAAGTTCCCGCATATGAGCACAGTTCTCAATACTCTTCGCCATACAAATGAGTCGCTAGTGCAACCTGATGTCGTTATTTTCATTGGCCTAACAATAAAACTTCTTTGCTAAGTATGAAGAGAATGTCTTTCTTTCGGCAATAACAGTACCACTGCTGGCATCATCGCTATTATTACCAATCAATATCAGTTTTCGTCAATTTAATTTCAAGATGTTATAGGACAGTCCCTAATAAATATAACAGGAGTTGATATTGCGAATAATATATAAAAATAGTTTAACAATGCTAACCTTCAATAGAAGTACAAAATAAACTTGTCAAGGTGGTAGGTGACATGTTCACCTACATAAAAACAACAAAGGCGTCACAAAGTAGTTTCGAAGACAATATTCAGAACATTATTTGTAATTTTTGTTAAAGGCAATATAAAGTCTACATATTTGATGAATACTTAAAGAGCCTAAAGTTTAAGGCTTCGTTTGTAAGTTTCTTCACAGCTTATATCCTTGAGATCACCACAATGACCTGTCTGTTAAAGCGTAATGAGAAAGCCTCCAAAAGAGATTTAATGAGTTTCATTTTAGCACCCAGTTTTGCTCATCATTACATTTCATAACTAGTATTCACTATTCACCTAAAATAACTCAATTGATTGGGCTTTCATCACCCTTTTGTAAGAATTCCGCAATAAGTGAAAAGAAGTTTGTGTACGCTACACTACGCATACTGTATAAATTTGTGAAAAGTTAACGCTTGCCATATAGAGTATTTTGAGTTCCTTTGTAAGAATATTTCACTACGGCCATTTCACATATTTTCAAACTCAATACCATGAATTCAATATTATTAATCATGCTTAACAGTACCGTTATTCAACAATCTTAATCTTAGGAAACCCTAACCATAATATTCACAAAATAATTAGATGTGCCAGAGTTAAATAGTTATTTCAATCTTAAAATTTAAGTACACTTCAATAACTCTATTGGATAATGGAGAAACAGACGGGATAATTCAACACTAGCGCAAAGTCCCGATATACGAATTCCATACGACACCTCAATGTGGTATTTCTTTACACATCATCACAAAACACCTTAATTATGACATAGCACCGCGATTTTGACATTAAGCCTAAGTAAATTTTGCGTTTGAAAGGGTAATTTGCGGCGCTTCACTTAATTCAGATATTAAGAGGACCACTTCTAAGTGAACGATAGTGTATGCCATCTGAATGTCATTTTTAGTGTTTTCCACTTATTATAACGCAATTAAGGGACACAATTAAAGAAATAAGTACTTCGGACAAACATTATCATCAGGCTTTACAATTACATAATAGATTATTACTCATAGGAGTTTGAAAGTGTGGACCAAGAGAATCAACTATAAACGTAGTTCAGGGGGCGACTTATAAGTCCTACATATCCCAAGCTTACAACAATTCTGAACTTATTCTAACCTATTCTTCGATAATGCCTTTTTATCGTAAATGAAGATTCTATCTACCCACTATGTTCTCAAATAACGCTGATCGTGCTTAGAAAGAGAGCTGGGTGCTGAATTAAGTCTTTTCGCTCTGAAGTAATGCTATTCCGTGCTTAATATGTCCTGTGAGGGCTGGAACAATGCTGATAAGCAAACCCAGTAGGTTTTGATCTACTCCTGAAAATGCCTAGAAAGAGAACATGGTGCTGAATTAGTACCACTCATGCTGAAAAATAACACTGAGTTCTAATATGCACCATTAAAGAATCCATTTCAGAACAGATTCATAATTTACTCGGTATAAAATGTTATTAGTGAGATTTAATTCAGCATTATAGTAAGCTTGGGACCAGAATAAATACAATTAATATTCAGTTATCCAGTACCACCATGAGAAGTAACTGTTCTGGGTTGTGGTTGGAGGACATGAGGAGAAGGATTGAGAAATTTTCTCGTAACACAGAGATTTTTCTGCCAACTGCCTCAATTATGCTCATCAATCAAACTAATGGAATTGTTATGGCACCTTATATATAGTAGCAAAGGCTGGACATACATTGTTTGTCTATTGATGCCATATACTCCCCTAAAACCAAGTCATGCCTTACTTTGAAGGTCACGGTTACGTCATCCGTCGCATTACGCGCATATTCAATGTCCAGCATTGGAACTACCATAAATCCAACTGATCCAACTGCACTTTTATGGCTGTTTATTTGGGCTGAATAACTCCGGATATTCAGTGGATTCCTGTGTCCCTATAGTTACTTACCAATGCTTCAGCAGTTTCAGTAGGTGATGGTCTGATTTGAATCAGATATGGAATCTCTGATTTAAATTAATACTGAGGCAGAAATTCCTCTAAAACCGCTTCTCAAATATCTTTGTGAGATGCATCTCAATACTGGCTGACGAGCAACACTTTTCGAGAAAATTCGCTTTTGTTGCGCGTGAAAAATGGAAATTGTGCCGCGTAACGTCAACATGCACCTATCGGTTCACTTGCTGCTGTGGATCTGACCACACTGTCCCCACTCCGTCTTCTGAGTCTATATGCTGCAGAAATTCTAAAGTACTGCAGCTTAAGCAACTTTCTTCGCTGTATGTTTCTGATCATTAAAATTACAATAAGACACCAGATGGTGACGGTTGGTGTATAAGTCATATAATCCGGCTGATACCAAATATCTTAGTTGGAATAAGGTTAAGTTGTTCAAAAGGTAGAGTAAGTGCACGAATTCTGTTCTTGTATCAAGGTAAGGAAAATTTTACTTTTCAGCCCGTCGTATAAGTACTATCGCACATAGAGTCGCGTTGCTATTCCGCATGTAGGAAAAGATTACGAACGCCTTGCTCCTCTTTTCTGAATAAGAAAGTCAATAACAGCAATTACTTCACAAGATGCTCCACGTTGAGTTCAGTAAGTACAAATAGAAGTTTTTCCACTTCAGTGTTGTGAGTTAATTTGTAAAATGCGTAGGCCGTTAAAGTAATACATTTGGCATGGAGGCTTCATGATGAAATCAGAAGTGTATTATTTTAATAAATCTTATGCACTGCCTGTATCAATTTGATGTTCGTCAAGCTGCCATTTGAAAACTGCTGAATGGTGTGACCAATCTGAGGTCATAATTCACAAGTCCACGAATTGGTGTCGTTTTCATTGCTGACAGTTCACAATCTATTGATTTTACAATACGCATTTTTCACTTAATTGTGAAAACATTAACTCGGTTTTTCGAAAAATTAGTACAATAGTTTATGAATTTCATGACTTCTAAAGATTGCATTCTATTCCATTAATACTGAAACTAAACTATCAGGGAACTCATATTTCTAAGAAGGATGTAATGTAAGTCTCATTTCTACAACTGATATCCTTGTTTTAGTTTAATTTTATCATACATGTATTAATAGAGTTGTCTGTCTTTAACTCTAGGAACTTATGTAGGAGCAGTCTCGTCAGCTTACATTATGCTGATGATATTGTCCGCCTAAGCTGTGAGAAATGACCAGTGAAGCTTGGTGATATGAAGATCACTGGTGTTTGAGTGTAGGTTTCCGTGCTCCGTCTCCTGTGTTAAGTAGTATAATACGGCACTTATGACACAGTTATATTTCTTTCCCAACAAGCGGCAGCAACAGAGGTCTTATTCAAAGTGTGAATTACCCGTGAACTGGGAAATTCGAGTTCAACACAGCAACATATGTGGGCGAGGTATTTTTGTGCCGCGGAATTTCTGCTGGTAGAAATAGAATTTACGAACTGAAAATATTCGTAAAATATGGAAGCACCCCATTGAGTCATCTCTTAGGAAGACTGGTGAAATGAAATACGTTGCACAGATGCATCTGTAGATATGTAGGTGTGCGTTAATTCACGTAAACTCGGGGTTGTTTAAAGGAGATATTTTGTTTCAGCGACCTTCTGTTGTACACTTCTTATTTTTCATATATGTAGTGTACTAACCAGCGTTTCACGAAGCAGTTTTACCACTTCCTGAATAACCTACCAAAGCTATCCCTAGTATTAATTTATGATACCTCACCATTTTAATTTATAACATGAATGGTCGTGCCTGTAAAAATGACATGCATTTCTTGTAAGCACCAGTTATTACGAAATATAAATTATTATAATTTGACGCAAAACTCAATTATGACGCGCGCTTTTAGTCAAATTTCCTCAGTGTCTATACTTTGTTCTATACTGTCTGCATTGCTCACGCCTGTGTAAAGTGTTCTTATAAGTAGTATGACGTCATCTTTTCTTATATGTATCTTGCGCGAGTGGGGATTTGTAAATATGCTTACTCCTCGTATATGTTATTCATCATGTTGATGAAGAGAATAAACTGGTGTCCCTAATGTACGAAAAATGAGAAAGTATATTATTATTCCTCTTGTAATCAGAGAAGCCCTCTTTCCCATCTACGAATGTTGCAGGGACATTCGATTACTCCACGTTTATTTTTGCTTTCATCGAAGGAAGACACAACGGCTAGCGTGCTCCTAGGAGCATTTTACCTTCTCCATCTCCAGCGCAGGACAAATTTTTGTTTATCCTTCCCTTGGATGTTCCTTTTGTGACCGGATTAATTTTCCACTGTGCGGTCGTTAGCCTCAATAGCCGACTTTCCTATTTCTATAGACCTGGAGCCAACCGTTAAAGAGACGTTCGGTCCAAGAAGAGAACAATTTATTGACCCAGACATCAAAGGTCACTGTGGTGCCACAGCGGTTACCATTTCGCATTTCGCGACTCATGAAGCAGTCAGTCGCCACACCTTCAGGAATCCCTTACGAAAAATCAACATTTTTAAGCAGATATGGTTTGAATTCATGTTTCTAAATTTAAATATGAAAGGCAAGGAACCAACATTCACCTGAAAATTCACTTGACCGGAACTTTTGAATTATGGATTTGTTTGCAGGGTGGAGTAGTGATGACAACAAAGTTGATCACTTTTGATAGAATCATGGCATGAACTTCAATCCGCAAAAATTGTGTTATACATAGTGGCTCTTACTGATTGCAATCTCTGTTCATGGGCACTTTTAAGTACATTTTAACACAATGTTAAGCATCGGGTGACGGAAATGAACACAAAATGTCACAGGAAACTGGAATGTGCCTCAAATAAAACAGCGGCACCCCAAAACGACATTATGTCAGTTATTATACCATTTGAAGATGGTATGAAATTTGATAAGGTAACATTCAATACAACAAAAATAAAAAATTTATGATTTTCGGTTTAGGATGACAAGTGGGATAAGTGGAAACAGTTCAGAGTGACTTTGTGGAGTGATTCTAGAAATGATAACATGTGTTGCGTGATTCTTAGTGTTTTCCATAACATAGCGTCTATGACTCTGAAAAGCTGTTCGAGGTCAACTGATGGATTTGTCCATCGTTGTATAATATGTTGGAAAAGAGTTAGTATTAGAGAGGATAAGCTGCTAATTTTGATATTTCGTAGGGACTTTTTTTGCTAGATCACATCTCTCTCTAACCCAAATTTTGTATATCTGCAATTATTGGGTACTGAAGCAGCCAGTGAGAGCGGCAGCTGCGGAGACGGAGAATAGTCTTGTTTCAACAGTCCAGTGGTATCAGCATTGTAGAGACATCGCATCATGGAAAATGGACAGAATTACTTCACTGTTAGGCGGGGAGTACGTAGTAGTCCATGTAGACAAAACAGTGCTGATAAAAAAGAAATACAATCGGGGTCGTCAGAGAGCAAACAACATTTGGGTTATCGGTTTATATGACACATCCCTTCGAAAAGGGTTTGTTGAAAGGATAGCAGACAGGAAGGCGAGCACTTTGATCCCTATTATAACTCGACTTGTGAAAAGGGGATCAATTGTGCATACCGACGAGTGGAAAGGCTACGATTCTTTGTCATCTCTGGGTTACATTCACCATAGAGTGAACCACTCCAATGATTTCGTCATTCCTGTCACTGGGACTCATACCAATTCGATTGAAGGTTTTTGGAAGAGATTGAAAGACAGGATCCGGGCTATAAATGGATCACAAAAAGATATCATTTTCAGTCATTTGGACGAATACATGCACAGAATGTGGTGTGATTTTTCTACTGACAGTCCCATGTTGAATTGGGAGATGTTTTTGTTTCATGTTCGAGAAAGATACCCACTGTAACGGTTTTATACTTTTATTCTATGCATTTTTGTACAAATATACGCTTCCACTTATCATAAAGGGCTCTTTAATGTGATTGGTCAGTTCAAGGTCGTTTTCTGATTGGTTGTTATTGGTGTCGAAAGTTTAACTTTGCCGTGAATTCAAGAATCTGGAAGATTAGAACCTGTAGAACAAAGTGGCCTATAAGATGTCTCACAAATTTCAGCAGGGCACATGGGGTAACGTCTTGACAAGAAGCTGAACAGGCTTGCAGACGGTAAGAGCGAAAGCAATTTTTATATCCTAAATCTCTACAACCCTTATTTATTTTATTTTTTGTCAAGGATCCAAAATAATGTTTGATTCTCGAGCTGTCAAAAATGCACGTTTCTGTCCTACAGATGGGAGTGATTCACATTTGTGACCACCACCACATCTGCTAATCGGCATGCGCCATCCTCCCTCCTCTTTTGATTTTAAGCTCTGAGATTTTTGGCGGTACCTTTATTTGCGGCATTGCATTGCTTTGAGCCCGTTCCAATAACACGGCATGCTGCACATCAATAGCTTTCATGACAAACTCTTCCAATTAGGTTACCAGATACATCGATACCTGAGGATATTCTCAGCAGTATCGCGTTTATACATGCTTACATGTACATAAGTATTTGTTGCAAATGGCCAGGAAATTGAGTTTACTTTAAGATAAATAATAAATAAATAATAGTATATTCTCATTTTGTACATGAGGGACGCCAGTTTACAGGCATCATCAATATGATAAATTACATATACGATTAGTAAACATATTTAATAATAGTAATTTAATAAAATACATTTTTTCCTACCTGTGTAGGACACACCAATTGTACAGGCATGGATAAGTATTATTTAAATTACATAAATTTGGTTCATGGTAAAATTATAAGGTTGCAGTCATTTTGTCTATGGGAACAATATGATAACTAGTCATTCAATGGAGCACATCAAGAAATATAGAAATATTGTCTTCGCATTAACAAAAAAAACCCAAGTATGTTTTGGATGGATTACAAATACTTGGGAAAAAAATAAAGCTTGAAGTAATTCCTCCATATAACTTTGGTGTGTACGGCATCGAGTCTTATTCTTGATAATAATTTAAAATAAGTAATCCACTTGTATACTTTTGTCAGCATTTTCTTCGTAACATCACAAGTGAATAGTACTCAAGGTAGACTAATAATAATGGTAGTTTATATTTTCTTATAAACGGGTGTTTTCAAGAAATGCAAGCTATTTTGCAGACAAGATCAGTTATGTTATAAGTTACATTCGTGAAGTATTATAAATCAATACTTTTTTATTGGTATAAAGATATATTTCACAACTGTAATCCAGGTTGCGTCGTTGGTGAAGGCAATGCGCAATTCACGAGGGAATTGTAAGTTATGGGACCAATAATGTTTGCAGATCATTTGTCATTGTAAATGGGCAAATATCTACATTCTTCGTTCTCATTCAAAAAGTTAAATGGAAGCTGAAATGGTGAGAGACAAAAGAAGACAAACAACAACAACGCAAAAGAAAACAAGTGGAGTACTTAGGGAGTGATTAATATGTATATATACATTTATATTCTGTGTAGTAATTATAGTTATTTTGGTGCACTAACTAACTATTCCCGTAATGCTAACTTTTATATTGTGTGAACTAATATTATTGTCCTGTGTAAAAATGTCTATCATGTACTTCCAATAATATAAAAATTTATAATTGTAGTTTGTTGTAACTACACGTTTAATGAACTTAAAATATCTATGTTGGACGAAAAAGTGGGTGGAGGATTCAGACGCAGAAGTGCACTGTCATCTTTGAGCAGTCTGGTGACTGAGGAGATGAACACTGCGAGTGTGTTTGCATCGCGCACATCAGCTGGTAGTCTATTCCAAATGACTGAAAACTTATTTAAGAAGAAATTATACCGCATGTAAGTCTGACAGTGCTCTATAGCAGCTAGGTTGTGGTGATTTCTAAGATTGTAACTGATGACAGCGGTAGGTTTAATTATTGGCTCGGAGGAGTGCACGAGCAGATTAGTTAGCTTGTAGTAAAAAATTAGGTTCAGCTTAAGACGTCTTTTCCAGAGTGGTTCTAAACTTAGTCTGTCGCAACGTTCATAGTATTGGAGACCACTTTCTAAACCAAGAATTCTTAAGGTGAATTGCCGTTGCACTCCTTCTAACTTAAGCTTGTCATTTTGTCTGAGTCCGCTAAGAATAAACGGGCAGTATTCTAAAATAGGTCGGACACATACTTTATATAATAAAACCCTAGTTTCACAACAAAAGAAATTGCGAGTTATGCATCCTAGGAGCCTTCGTGTTTTACGTCTGGCATAATCAGTTTGTTCAGAGAACGTCAAGTTACTAGAGTATCTGATACCGAGATCTACGACTGAGTTGAGCTTGGCTAGTTTACGCCCATTTACTTCAAGATTCAGGTCAAGGTTACTGTTTCCGATACAAATCCAGCCGCATTTATCAATGTTGAACTTTAGACAGGATTCAGTACACCATGTTGCGAGACTACTTAGTTCAAGATGTATTTTATTCACCATATCGCTTAGTTCATGAGCGTGGCAGGAGTAAACGACTTTGAGGTCGTCAGCATATAGGAATGATCTACCTAAGGTGAAGCAGTTGCAAATGCTGTTAATGTATACTGTAAATAAAAGTGGACCTAGGACACTACCTTGCACAACCCCACTTGTGATCTGTCTAGGATGAGACAACACAGATCCAACCTTGGTTATTTGTACCCTATTGCTTAGAAACGATTTTAACCAGCTCAGTAATGGATTGCGAATCCCACATGAATACAGCTTCTCAAAGAGAATACTGTGAGATACCATGTCAAATGCTCTAGATATGTCGAAGTAGAGAACAACAACTAGCTTACGTGCTTCGCGACTACTAGTGATGCAGTTGAAAAAGTCGAAGTGGCAGGTAACGCAAGACCTATTTTTGAGAAATCCGTGTTGAGACCTTGTAACAAGATCTTCCTTAAGTAGATAGTCTGACAACTGATCTTTGACAACTTTCTCCATGACTCGCGAGACAACTGGGGTTATATTTATAGGTCTGTAATTGCGGACGTTTGCCTTATCACCGGATTTATAGTGTGGAATTATGAAGCTAGTTTTCCACTCATTAGGGTAAGTGCCAGTGTCCATAGATATCGAGAAGAATTTAAGAAGTAGTAGGGGTATATCACACCCACTGTTTTTGAAAATTATGGAAGCAAGGCCATCTGGTCCCGTGCTAGTGGAAGGTTTCAGGCTTTTAACTGCTTGTTCTATTAATTGGTCGGTGAACACTATGCTTCCGAGGAAAGAGCTAGTAAGGGGCCGGTGTCACCAGGAATGCGCGTTTCTAAACTGAAGTTTGCAAACCACTCACTGAATATTTCACAGATGGTGGCAGGTACATTGTAGATAACTTTGTCATGAAGTAAATAGGGGATGTCCCTAGTCGACTGCATTCGTTTTTTAAGAAGTGTTGTTAAGTTATAAACTTTGGAGGTGCTTTCAAGTGCCCTTAATTCTTCGTCGAGGTCCTTTTGAGAGCGTTGGCGCTTGACAGATTCAAGAGACTCATGGATTGAGTGCAGTAGTGATATATCCTTAGTTGAATAGTACTGTTTCTTCAACTTCCTTAACTTATTGCGGCATGCCCTCGGAATGTTATCAGCTTGATGTCTACTTAATTTCACTACCTTCTTAGGAGCAACAGTATCTAGACAAAGGATAACATTCCTGTAAAGTATAAAGTATAGAAGTAGCTAGTATTACAGGAACTAAGTGACAGTCGATTTAGCAGAGTGAAATGCGTAGTGGAACAATTAGTGATAAAATTATGTAGAATGATCCTGAAGAAAAGAGCTGGTTAACAAAACTAGTTATGCTTAATTTTCATGATTCATTTTCATGTAGTATGCGTAAGACATTGCAAAGTAACTCTTCAACTTACGTTAAAAACACAACGATTTGTTATAAAAGTATACATTTTAGAAAAGTATTTGAGGAAAGGTAATTATTGGCTGAGTATAGTCATTTCGACACAAAAAATAGCATTATATTAACTGTACATATATGTAAAATATTAAAGGGTGTGGTTGCTAATATAATTATTTCCAGAGTTTGTTATGCCAGCACAACTTAGTGAAGATTATAGGGAATGGAAAATCAGTGAATTAGTCAAATGTTCACTGCATAAGTAGTAGAGTCGATTTATGCGCAAGTGATTACACTGAAGACTGGCCTGGCTTTTATTTATCATTCTACTGACAGTTTTGGTCTTTTAAAAGAGCTAGAGTGGACATATTATTGTGTCTTTCAGGCCCTGTTTGAACCCATCAGGGTTTTCACCACATCTAATTTCAGATGGTAGTTGGTTCCAAAGAGTGTAATATTTAATAGTGAAAATGTTTTCTCTAATGGACTTTCTGTGGGTTTTCACCTTGAGTAGGCAGTCGTAGTTTCTTAGCTGTTATGGATGAGCCACTGTAACAATGTTTCCTAACGTCTTGGAAGAATAGAAACAAGTTGCATTTTATTCTCCTTAACCAAAAGGGTTTTAATTTCAGTCGTATACACCTGTTAACATGTTCCACTTGTTGTTTCAGGAGGAATCTTTGAACACTTTTGTCTTTCTTGGTATGCAGACCTTAGGTTACCGTGTAGGTCACAATATTCAAGTTTGGGGCGAATCCATATCTTATATACAGCTAATCTTGCTTGTTGAGTGTGAAAGTTACGCAGAACAAAGCCAGTATTTCGTTTACAGTCGGATACTACCTTATTTGCATAATCGGAAAAGGTTAAATCTGAGTATGTTATCCAGAGATCGGTGACTGTGTTCACTTTTGAGAGGAGCTTACTGTACCTGTACAGACACGTTGTCGGTTTCCAGAGTCCAAATCGGGCCATGCCGAAAGTCGAAGGCTAGTTTCCATCTTACCTTCAATCTCCTAGACTGTTTAGGTCGTGCTGGATTTTACTTCCAACGCCCTCCAACTTTCATGGTCTTAATCCCTCTATGCTAAAGTATGGTAATCCCCAATCATATTTTAGCTCTACCAACTCTCCATTTTTAATTTTTGTCTATTCAGTTTGTATGCTCTTCCTTATTAAGTCAATTGTTACTTTTAGATAGCATTATTAGAAGACGGAGATTATCTGAAAAATGTGATGTATTAGCGCTATACATTTCGAACAATCTGATCACACATTTACTTGTCAAGTCAATATATATGGAAAGGTTAAATTAAACAAGGTGACAAAAAAGAATTAAGAATAATTAACACAAACGTTTGGTAATCCAATCAAATAAGGATTACCAAGGTAGGTTAAGAGTGATAACAAACTGTTTTTGAATACACAAGGGGGGCTTAAGTTTATGAATGGCTATAGCCTCAGCGTATTTCAGTAAACGTCCTTGACCGTTTTTATAGATGACCTTAAAGGCTGAGTTAACATCAACCTTATGGTTCATATCGATTAAATGTTTAGCTATAGACGAAGTTGGTAGTCTGGCACCTGCATCTATGGGCTTGTCACAATTCATCTGTTTTCCTAACCACTTTGGGATATGCTCTCCCACCCTCACGTGCAACGCGCGATTACTCCTCCCTATGTATGTATGTCCACACACACATGAAAATTGGTAAATTGTATGGGATGTGATATAATCACTTGTGCACTTTTGAGGTTTCCAGTGAAGCATATTTTTAGCCTTTTCGACAATTACAAGCTGGGCTGCATAGTAGGTTCTACGGATGATGGAATTCAACCTTTGTCTCAAAATCCTACTATTTATTTCCCCATTATATGGTAATTTGATGAAAACCTTCTTCTTAGGGACGGTATGGATTGTAGGTTTAGAGGCTAGTTGACTTCTACACCTGTTTAAAAACTTCAAAGGATATCCGTTTTCAACAAGAGTATCCATCAATATTTCGTTTTCCTTGTCTATAACATCAGCCGTGCAAATACGCTGAATCCTCTTAAATAGACACTTCACCAAGCCTCTCTTATATTGTAATGGACAGAAGCTGTGAAAATTAAGATATTGCCCTGTCCAAGTGGGCTTTCTGTAGATAGAACGTCTTATTGAGCCATCGTCTCTTCGACTCAGAAGTATGTCTAAAAATGCGAGCTGGTTGCGACTTTCTTCCTCGCATGTAAGACTAATATGATTCTGTACAGAGTTGAGTCTGTCCAATAGACGACTCGCATCTTCATGATCATCGCATATCAAAATGATATCGTCTACATATCTCCTATAGAAAGGCAGTTTAGAAATTAAATCAGAAGATAAGTTTTCAACATAAGACATAAAAACATCCGCTAATAAAGGTCCTAATGGACTCCCCATAGCAACACCATCCACTTGTCTAAAATGTTCACCTTCAAACGTGAAATGGACGTTATCAGTACACAATAGTAATAAATCTTTCAAATAAGTTAAAGGAAAAGGAAGTGAAAAACAACTAGAAGATATATAATCACAAAGAATATCAACAGTCTTAACCAATGGTACATTAGTAAACAAAGAATTAACGTCAAATGAATACATTTTCCTATCTTTTATGTTCATATCTACAAGACAGTCAACAAGTTCAAATGTATCTTTTAAAGTAAACTTACATAATTCATTGCGCACTGGACTTAAAATATCAGCTAGCCATTTTGCTAATTTATGTGTAGGCGAGTTACACATTGAAAGAATTGGCCGTAATGGATTATCAACCTTATGAATTTTGGGTAATCCATAGAGGTTTGGAAAGTCAGATCCCATGGGTTTCAAGGAATTAAACTCCTGTTTATCGATAACGTCCAAGCCACGAAGTTTTACTAAATGAGAATTTACTTTTCCTTCTAGTTTTCTGATATCATCCGAAGGAACATCGGCTATGAATTTGCTTTTATCACTAAGGATGGATAACATTTTTGTTTTGTAATCGCATCTGTCCATTACAACCACACCACCTGACAAAGGATCTGGTGTGGTTGTAATGGACAGATGCGATTACAAAACAAAAATGTTATCCATCCTTAGTGATAAAAGCAAATTCATAGCCGATGTTCCTTCGGATGATATCAGAAAACTAGAAGGAAAAGTAAATTCTCATTTAGTAAAACTTCGTGGCTTGGACGTTATCGATAAACAGGAGTTTAATTCCTTGAAACCCATGGGATCTGACTTTCCAAACCTCTATGGATTACCCAAAATTCATAAGGTTGATAATCCATTACGGCCAATTCTTTCAATGTGTAACTCGCCTACACATAAATTAGCAAAATGGCTAGCTGATATTTTAAGTCCAGTGCGCAATGAATTATGTAAGTTTACTTTAAAAGATACATTTGAACTTGTTGACTGTCTTGTAGATATGAACATAAAAGATAGGAAAATGTATTCATTTGACGTTAATTCTTTGTTTACTAATGTACCATTGGTTAAGACTGTTGATATTCTTTGTGATTATATATCTTCTAGTTGTTTTTCACTTCCTTTTCCTTTAACTTATTTGAAAGATTTATTACTATTGTGTACTGATAACGTCCATTTCACGTTTGAAGGTGAACATTTTAGACAAGTGGATGGTGTTGCTATGGGGAGTCCATTAGGACCTTTATTAGCGGATGTTTTTATGTCTTATGTTGAAAACTTATCTTCTGATTTAATTTCTAAACTGCCTTTCTATAGGAGATATGTAGACGATATCATTTTGATATGCGATGATCATGAAGATGCGAGTCGTCTATTGGACAGACTCAACTCTGTACAGAATCATATTAGTCTTACATGCGAGGAAGAAAGTCGCAACCAGCTCGCATTTTTAGACATACTTCTGAGTCGAAGAGACGATGGCTCAATAAGACGTTCTATCTACAGAAAGCCCACTTGGACAGGGCAATATCTTAATTTTCACAGCTTCTGTCCATTACAATATAAGAGAGGCTTGGTGAAGTGTCTATTTAAGAGGATTCAGCGTATTTGCACGGCTGATGTTATAGACAAGGAAAACGAAATATTGATGGATACTCTTGTTGAAAACGGATATCCTTTGAAGTTTTTAAACAGGTGTAGAAGTCAACTAGCCTCTAAACCTACAATCCATACCGTCCCTAAGAAGAAGGTTTTCATCAAATTACCATATAATGGGGAAATAAATAGTAGGATTTTGAGACAAAGGTTGAATTCCATCATCCGTAGAACCTACTATGCAGCCCAGCTTGTAATTGTCGAAAAGGCTAAAAATATGCTTCACTGGAAACCTCAAAAGTGCACAAGTGATTATATCACAT